CCGAGGGTGGATGCATCAACTCCTCTGGTACCATCTGCTCTCGGGCCTGGGTCTCCGGGGCCCACCTGGCTCTCCCGGGCACACAGAAGAGTCTGGCAAGGCACCTTCTCTGACATCAGCTACTCGTGACTTTCACAGCAGCCCTGGTCAGACCAGCCTGAGTCCTCTCCCCATTTCACAGAGGAGGAGACTGAGGTTCCAGAGGCTGGTGGGGACTGGTTAGGACTATTTTTGCACAGAAGAGGTTCAAGGCCTCATTCAGAAGCATGCGGCTAAGTGAAGGCAGGGACAGCTACAGACCCAGTCCCCCCTTCTCTGCCCTGATGCTCAGAAGAAGGGCCTTCCCCAACCAGGGTCAGGATGGTTCCAGCTCAGCCCGGTGGGGCTCGCCTGGGCTCTGGGTTTTTCTCAGTCTTGAGAATGTGAACAACCTGCACCACTCTGATGGTCTAGCTCCCTAGCATTGGGGGCACAGGTGGCTCTGGGCAACTTGGACTGAACCCCCCTCCAGACATGCTTCCGAGACTGAGGCATGACACTGCCTCCCTGCCTGCCATGGCTTCTCAGAGGGACCCCAGGGCCCTGAATCAGACACAATTTCCCCTGCCTTTTGAGTTTTCTAGGCCTCACCTGTCTCCTGGACCCCCGGGAGGCTTCTGCCCTCCCTGACCTGCTCATCCCCAACAGGGTGAGGGCAGGGGCTGCATCAGGCATGGAGGCTCAGACCACTGCCTCTCCTAGTCCAGGCTTTGAGGCTACCCAGAGAGGTGACCCCTGGAAAGGGTAGGTGTTCCCTGCTTGTGGGGCGATTGTGAACAGGTGCAGGAGAGGGGAGGGACCTGGTGACAACTCCCCAGCTTTGCTCCCAGATGTCACGGGGACCCTTCGTGTCTCTCGGTGGCTAGTAGAGCCTGCAGCTTGGTTACCCGCCACCCGTGTTTGCTGTCTACCCTTCCCTCTCATTTTTTCCCCCCCTCGCTCTTTCTGCTCTGGACCGTATCTCCCAGTAGACCAGAGGATCCAAGTCTGGCCTCGGTTTCTTCTTAATAGAGAACTTGAACTCAGTCAAGCCTCAAGGTGGCTTGTTTGGTGCCTGGGTTTTCTCAGTCTGCAGATGCCTTCCTCTTTGGACTGTTGCTCCTGGGCTTCCATTCCAGCTCTTGTGTCCCCTTGTAAAATTTCTTCTACTCCAGCTTCCCTGGAGAAAACAAAACAAAACAAAACAAAAATGAGTCATAGAGTGACAGATTCTCAGATGGAAATCCCGACTCACTAGCTTCGCGGGAGGGGTCTCCATATCACGGGACTTAGGAAAGTGGCCTCTATACTCAGACGGTGTGTGCTTGCCTCACAGCACTTCCTGTGTGACCTCGGGAAGGTTCCTCAACCTCTCTGGACCTTAGCATCATCTTCTGCGAGATGAAGATAAGGACAACATTTATGGCACAGGATTGTTGCACAGATTAAATGAAATAAGGTCAAAGCCAGGCCTATAGTAAGGACTCAATAAATGTTAGTTAACATTTTGAGTTACCCTTTTTGTCAAATCTATGGTCGTTGACTTGGCAGCTCTAAAAATATCTGATAATGGTTCCCATTTGTTGAGTGTCTTCCACACACCCAGAACTTTGCCCAAACCTTTTCATTTAACTGTTCGGCATTTTGTAGCGAGGAACCCGAGGCTCCAGATCAAGCAGAGGGCAAGGTGTGCTCAGCTCTGTCTGATGCCACAGCCCGTGTTCTCTCCTCCATGTGGCATGGAGGAACATTTCCACTCTTCCCTAATGCCCAGGGACACCTGCCCTTTATTTTCTCCACAAAGCTTCCAGGCTGGCCTTTGAGGGACAAGGAGGAAAGGACAGATGTTAAGCCACAGAGAATGGGCTCCCCCAAGAGGGGAAGGCATGGGGGCTGGAAGCAGCAAAGAAGCGAGTTTATGGCAGGTGTTACCATGTACAGCAGGCCTTTCCTAATGAGCAAAACAAGAAGAGAAAACTGATTCGGCTTCGTTTGAAGGTGTGAGGAGAACCGCCCAGCTCTGAAAGACATTTCCATCGAGCGCAAGACCTGGGTGGGTGGGGGGTGACTCTCACCATGCAGGAAGTAGTGTGGTGACTACCCGATGGAGGGCAGTGGAGGCCCTCTGTGGTGGCCTTGTCTGTGGTGCCTCTCTTGAGGACAGACACGTCTCCCTCTGAGAGCTCATGTCCTTTGTGGTTGGACTGTCCCTTGCAAGTGTGAGTGGCCGTGAGAAAGGCAGCCTGGACAGAGTCCGCCTGACCCCTCATGACAGGCGTCACTCGTGTGGTCGAACCCCGCCATTCACCTGTGCTGAGAGAAACCCTGTCTTGTCATTAAGCAGGGAAACACCACTGGTATTCATTTTTCTTCTTGAGTTGATGTGAAAAGTGGCTTCTTCCACCACCTCAAATGTGTGGTCATGTTGAGTGAGATGCAAGGACAGCATGAAGTTGTGACCATCATGGTTGACTCCTTTGGGAGAGCGTTGGTTGGGTCCTTCCACTGCTCGGAGGGGGCGGCCACCGAGGGGGCACAGGGCCCTCCAGGCCGTTGTTGGGGTTACGATGCTCTTTCATCTTCAGAGCCCTTTGCAGTCACTAACTAGACGCCCGCCCCGATGGTCGTTAGGCTGAGCTTGGCCAGTGGGCTTCCAACGTAGCATGGCACCCATCCTACCTCTTCCTCAGCCGCAAGGAAACTGCTTTCCCTGGCAGCTATCAGAACATCTTGGGCATGACTTATTTATTTATTTTTTTTAGCCGGGGTTGCCTGTCTTACCTTTTCAGCAGCTGTCTGAGATTTAGCCTCTTATCCAAGAGATACCTTCTAGGCAGCTGTGCGTGGGGCTCTCAGGACCAAGAGATGAGATGACAAAGCCCTGAGTGATGTTCAGGTATAACGAAGGGCCTTCTGATTTGATTTTTAGAGGAAACGTGGAAGGTCTTTATCAGCATAGGTGACACTATAAAAACAGAGTAAAGTGCAGATAAAATTCCCAGTTGTGATTCACCAACTTCCCTTTGGTATTTGTGGATTTTAGAAATAACATCAGCTGGTTCATCTCCAGAAATTTCCCTGTGATTGGTGATCTTCTATTATTAAGAAGCGTGTTTTTCTTTTTTTCATTAAAAAAATGAGTCAATGCTTTGACACAAAAGAGAAACGTTTAGAAGACAGATCTGGATTTGAACTTTGGTTCAGATATTTAGTGACTTGGGACTCTGGGAAAGCGAATTTCTGAGCTTCCCTTTCCTTGTTTGTAACCGGGGGATAGTAATGAATATCTCCAAGGGCTGTCAAGAGCAGAAGTAAGGTGCCTGGGAAAGAGCAGAGAGAGTGGTTTCAGTGAGTGTACCTTTACTGAGACAGCCTGGCTGGCAGGCCAGCAGAGTGAAAGCAAAGTCACCGGGTAGTGAAAGTACCAAGGCTGCCTCATCGACTCTAGCTGCTTCTGGGTTTTTACGGTGGAGCGAAGAGTGAAGAGTGAAGGAACAAATCCGGGCAGCATCTGTCACTGATGAATCAAATCACCGATGGAAGAAACAAGATAAAAGCCTTGCTGGGCTCTGCGCTGACTGCCGGGTCTTGGTTCAAAGAGAAGGAGCACCTGATAATTTCTAAGGAGACTGTGTCTCTGTAGCAAGGACAGCATGCCTGAGTGGATTCGATCACTTAGGGACTCTGGAAATGCTTTCTGGATGGGTAAATACATCTCTACTTCCTGCATCTTCCAACCCAGATGCAAGATACCTGCTTGTTTGTTTTTATTAAACTGATTGTGTTGACCTTCTGAAACTTTTCCTCAAGGAAGGGCACAGGGCTGTGAGTAGAAAGGTAGGGATGTCATTCTTGGCTCTTCCCAAATGCATCCCTTCAGGCCCTGGATTTATGCTCCCCTACAAGTGGGTGAGGGTTTAGAATGGGTGGTGCCTTGGGGGTGTTCCTGCGCTAGGAGCCTGGGGCCCATACTAAATGGGAAGCGGCCATCTGGGCCATATGCTTCTCATGCTGGAGCACAGGAGCTCAAAAGGACAGAATGACCATGCATGCACAACTTAAAACTGTTGCTCCTATCGTCCTTGCTCATATCCCATTGGCAGAACAAGCACCCGGCCAATCCTATAGTCAGTGGGGCAAGAAAGTATGCTCTCTTCCAAGGGGGGCGTGACTGAGTCCCCATGCAATGGACGTGTGCATGATTGACTTTGCACACACCAACTGCAGGCTGTGGTGGAGTGACTGTTTGCTGAGCCATAATTCAATTTATCATTGCCAATCTGAAGGCAAAGAACTTAATTAAACAAATTCTCAAGCTCTCCGTCAGCTTTGTGTTTCTCCAGTTCTTAGACAAAACATTCCGGGGAGCTTAGCCAATGAAGCTAAGCCAATGAAGCCAATGGCTTCATTGGTGGAAACTGTCTAGTCATGCCCTGATCAGAATTCGAGGCCAAGCAGGGACCCTTATTTGAGCTGTAGATTTAGCTGTTTGGTATTCACACATCCCTAATGATCTTGGAAAGTATAATATTTTCTAACAGCTGTAAAGACAAGAGATTCTAACATGATCAGCTATACATAATATCCATGAAATTACATTGAATAATGTAATGATGTGTTATGCTGTCTTTAACAACTTTATGATTACCTAATTTGAAAGGTTAATGAAATTGACAAATATATGAACACTATGGGTATCATCAATACCACTTAATGACAAATCTCTTGTTTTCATTTATGGAATCAACTAAAATGGGAAGACTCCATCAGTACAACTCCATTTTTTGGTCATAAATTAAAAAGAGTCTGCACAGTATATTTTGCTTTAATTTGGAGTTTAGTTTTCTAGAGCCTTTTATACTGTAGGTCTATGTATAAATAATATTTAATACAATAAGATCATAATTATTTAAAATGACAATATCATAGTTTTTCTGAAAAAGGTTACACTTGTTAAGGGTGAATATTTTTTCGTTGGACAGATCAAAGGCAGTGTCAGAACCAAGGACAACTACCATGGGACCTTCATCCTCCACAGCAAGCTGTGTTACCGCGGAGGGATCTTCCCATCTGGGCTAAAGGATATATAGCTTTTCATCTTAAAACTGGGAAAAATGATGTAAGTAGACTATTTTGTTTCTCTCCAGATCCCTGGGTAAGCTTTCAGTTTACCTGATTGGTTTTAAAACCATTGAATCTGTATCAATAGGCTAAGCAATGTCAGTAAAACTCAAACAAATAGAAGGGGCTCCATTAATTTTCGTTTGCAATATAACAGCCCTACAAGAGTAGTTATCATCTATGTTAACGTTTTCATATAAAGAAAATTTTTTTCTTAAGTGTCTACGTTCCCTCTACATCAATAATACTAATACGAATAGTACACCGTCAGTAAGAGTAATGACAATGGGGACGACTTTACATTTTACAAAGCACCTTAAATACGTAATTGGTTTGAACTTTTTAGAAAGCCAGTGAAGTTATTGAGGAAACCTTGTATCTCCATTTTGTGAATGATGAAATGAGGTCTGGAGAGGTTAAATGACTTGCCCAAAGTGTAATGGTCAAGACATGGCAGGTTATGACTTGCTAATTCTGTGCTTTTTCTACCATGCCTCACAATGTTTGCATCTACGGGCTTCCAGAAGCCGTGGCTTTCTGCTAGCCATTTGTAGTTACATATTATTTTTGTTTAAGATGATTATTTTTTCCAATTACCAAAGTTACAAGTGGCCACTGTAGAAAATTCGAAAATATAGAGGAGTATAAGGAGAAAATAGTAACCACCCTACTTCTGGACTCCAGCCCTGCAGAAATAACACATATTAACTCTTTTCTGTGTGCGTGTGTGTGTGTGTGTGCGTGTGCGTGCATGCGCGTGCGTGTGCATGTGCGCGTGTGCGTGTGCGTGCGTGCGTGTGTGTGCGTGTGTATGAACTCCATCTTTTTTGTCCTAAGTTCTTTCAGACAGTTGGATTTGACCAATGAGGATTCTGGAGAATACCAGGTCACAAGCCTAACCCAATCCTGAGCCTCATGGAACCACAGAATCTGGAGATGGAAGAGACAGAATGTAGGAATTGCTTTTACCACATCCTGGGAAAATGGTCCTTCCAACTTCTGTTTGACAGAACTAAATCAATTAAATCCAACACAGCAGCAGAATACTATGATATTCTGATCTTGTGTTGAACTAATTAATTTCTTTGCATTATATGCTGGGTTTTGGATGTCAGACTGGGAAATCGACAGGACTTCTATTATAAAGGGAAAAAAATAAATGCATAGAGAAGTTGCTTTCTCCTAGTGGAGCTCCAAAAGGAGTTTCCCAGGCTGCTTAATTTTTGGAGATTGAGACCCCAAATGTTGCAACACATGCATTCAAAAGCCCAAAAGGTGCAGTAGCTTCTGACATATTCATGATGTTTCCTGTTACCAGAATCTGCGCCTGGCAGTAACAACATACATACATGCGCTCTACTCTGCACAGAACGTTTTTTTCAGCCTTGCTTGTTCGTTGATACAAGCCAGCCAGTAACCCCATGGGGTGTGTTTGCATGTGTGTGTGTGTGTGTGTGCGTGCGCGCGTGCGTGCGCACGTGTGCATTGCCTACTGCCCCCAGCCCACCCTGGCTCTTCCTGTCAGCCCAGAGGGGCTGTCTCCCCAACCCAGATTTGGTGTTGTACCTTGCCCTTTCCCTTCGGAAATCACATCAGGTATGATTCTATCTCGAAGACTAAGGATCGAACTTGAAAAGGAGCCAGCTCTCATAGTGTCATTCCTGACAGATTTCTTAATTAATCTGCTCAGATTGTCAATAATGTAATTCACTGTTGATTTAGAAACTAGTTATATGAGCACTGCTAGTGCCATTGTGGGAAAACATCTGAATAATTCAGCTAATAGATGGGAAACTCACCCAGATTGCTGGGGCACAGGGAGGGAACAGCTAATTCAAATGAGATGAGCTCAAGCAGGGTGATTCCAGCAAATTCCAGGGAGCAGGGAGAGGTTGTCATATTACTGGGGGCAGCAGCTGCCTGGTTTAATTATTGTCATTTTGGTTTTTGGAAAAAAGAACGTGGGTCTGACACTCTTGCAGGCAGAGGCCATTAACACTCTTGAAAAATACTGTGGAATTTCAGTCTAAAGTGTGTGATCTAGTTGATTACTAACTCTCAGCTACACTCAGCATGTTAGTGGGTCTTATTCATTTTTTTAAAGATTTTATTTATTTATTTGACAGAGAGAGAGACAGCAAGAGCAGGAACACAAGCAGGGGGAGTGGGAGAGGGAGAAGCAGGCTTCCCACCGAGCAGGGAGCCCGATGCGGGGCTCAATCCCAGGACCCCGGGATCATGACCTGAGCCGAAGGCAGATGCTTAACGACTGAGACACCCAAGTGCCCCAGTGGGTCTTATTCTTGCTATAATATTATTTTCATACGATTCTTATTTGAAATTTGTGAGTGTAGTAACATGCATCACCAAAGGAGTATAAAAATGACTTCTTCTTTTTTTTTTTTTTTTCCCTGGGAGGTTCATAGTCATTCGGGTATTTCCCAGAATTGACTAGATGTATCTTGGGATTATGGTGATCACTCTTTATACGCCAAAACTTGGTGCCGGGTTGAAAATGAAGTTTATAGATTGGTGACTCTAATTATGTGAAAAGTCTTACATAAACATAAAAACTCAATCACTTTTAGTTATACACTTAACATTTTGTTTTTATGGAAAATAATAAAATTATATGAAGTTGAGCTGTTATACTAAATTTTTTCGCTATGGTGGTTAGAGTTTTAACAACCCTTAAGAGCAGATCAGTTAGTGCTTAAATGTAAATGTTCATCAGAATCATGGTGCTTTTGATAGGAAATGTTAATTCAATTCCATTTATCAGCAGTGTCTCACACTTTTCTTCTGTTCTCTGTCTCTCCCTTTCTCTCCGCCACAGCATCCTCACAGGCACGAGCGCTCATGCGCACACACACCACTCTACACACACACACACACACACACACATGCACACTGTCACCTCACTCCCAGTTTTCTTTCATGAGTTCTGCAGAAAAAAGGAAAGAGAAAACACTATCCAACGCGGATACCTTGACATTGACCAACTTCTAGCAGGTGAGAGTCAATTCTGTGTGGGATCTGTTGCCTTGGATTTTAATAAAGTCAGGACAGATTTCACATCCCAAATGGCACTGAGCCTTAGGAGACAGGATTGCCTTTTGGGGCTTAGGGAACAGAAATGTAGCAAACAGTTCTTGAGTGCACCTCTGGCTGCATGCAGAGAACGTGTGTAAAGTGTGGCGTGCGTTAGAATCAGCCTGGCTGCATCTAACACCCCAGGTAAGGGCGGCCCGAGCAAGATCAAGCTTCTCTCTCTCACTAAGGAAGTCTGGTGCAGGCAGCTGAGGGCTGGGGTGGCCACGCCAGGGTCACCAGGGAGCCCCCCTCCTGCTGTCCTGCTGTTCTGCCACTCTGAGCAGTGCACGATTTGCCTCAGTCTCATGGTCATCTCACGGTCAAGATGTTTGTGGGCACTCATGATCTCACATCCGTATTTCAGGGAGAAGTAAGGAGGAAGAGAAGAAAGGGTACCGCTCCCCTCCCTTCTGCTTTTATTAAGCAGCGGTTCTGGAAGCCCTCCTTCCTTCGCCTCCGCACATTTCATCTTGCACATCCTTGGCTGGAGCCCAGAGGGTCACACCTAGCTGCAGAGAGGCTGGCCGAAGTCGTCTTTTCAGCTGGGCACAAATAATACTGCCCTTCGCTCCGGGAAGAGAGGAGACTGGATATCTGATGGGAGCCTGAGGGCCAGTTCCTGCCAACAGTAGATGCTTTACAACAAGCAGTGATTATAGCTCTAATGAAACCACAAATAAATGCTTCCTATTTTTACTGAGTGCCTGGGTATTTTGAATCAAGATGATTTGAAAAGAGTATTGTCTCATGATCGCCCAAGACGACAGCCCCGATCATGGCTTTCTGTCACTTGCCCTGTCTGTATACATCCCCAGCTCCAGTCGGGGAGACAAAGCGCTGGTAAATGCTGTCAGGGCAGGGAACGTGGGTGACAGGTCCCTGAGATTTCTAATAACACTGGGTTGTTGGAAAAAGTAATTTGTTTTTATTTATGTATGTAATGCGAGCATTCTCTGATCATGTATTCCCTGGGAATCTAATTTGTAAATAATTACTTGACAGAATGAAACTGGCTGGAAAAGTCTGAATATGCAGAGGCACAGGCGGGGGGGGGGCCCGAGAGGAAATGTTAGCTGAAAGGCCAAGCACCTGAATGGTCCGAATGCAATTTTTCATCTCTCAGCAGTTAGCAGCTAGTAAGGTCCCTAGTTAAAACAACACACATTCTCAGGCTCCAGACGCAGCAGACACTTAGCCGGTCATTAGCAGAGGGGCCGGGAGCAGCTAACCTACTTGTGGCGCTGATGGAATGCCTGTCCCCAGGGAACGGAGACCGGGATACACGGGGCTGTTCTTCCTGTGCAGAGCGGGGGGCACAGGGAGGGGCCAGGGACCAAAGGTTTGCGTCCCTGTCCCTGCCAGGTTTGCGTGGCGAAGCTCCAACTCCCAGGGTGGCTGTATTTGGGGATGGGGCCTCTGGGGAAGTAGCCAGGGTTAAATGAGGTCGTGAGGGTGGGGCCCTAATCCGGTGGGAGTAGCGTCCTTCTAAGACTAGGAGGTGATACCAGGACCTCACCTGTGGGCAAGCACAATGAAGATACAAGCCAGGGAGAGAGCTTTCCTCCCTAGCAACCCTGCCGGACTCTGGTCTGGGACCTCCAGCCTGTAGAACTGCAAGAAAATCAAGGCTGTGGTTTCTGCTGGCCTGTCTGTGGTGCTTCGTGCCAGCAACACAAGCGAACTAACATGGGGTGGGGACACAGAGCCGGGTGCATCAGAGAGATCTGGACCAGCGGCCTCCCCATATTCCTGTGGTGCCACGTCCTGGGCCTCCTGCTGAATTTGCTCGCTGCCCTGAATACCCGGCTTTTCCCTCTCCTGTCGATTCGTTCTTCAGATTATTCATTTCAGCAGAGTCGCTGAGCATCTCTCTGTCCCAGCGCAGGGCTACACTTACATCTCCAGCAGCAGGAAGAAGAAGGAGCTCAGGCTCTGTGGCGACCATCGAAGGGCCAGTAGTAACCTCACAGGTGCCCTTTCTGTGGGCCGGTTCTGCTGTCAGCACTCGTGGTGCTAAATTGTAGGAGGCTCACACGAAGCCTGAGAGGTCAGGGCTGCAATTACCCTGTTTTACAGGAAAGGAAGAGACTCTGAAGGTGAACCAGCTTCTCCAAGGATACCCAGCCCGTAAGTGCCAGAGCCAGGAGGCACAGCCAGGAAGTCTGCACCAGGCCCCACTCTCCACTCTGCGGTCAAACCAAATTGTTACAACCCAGTTGGGAAGTGCTTCTGTGGCTCCAGCCCGGGCCCTGCGGCAGCACAACGGGGGACGGGGGACCCTCTCAGGGGCCGTGGGCCAGGGAAAGTCTCCCCAGAAAGTCCTGTCCGTGTGGGGATCTGGAGGGCAGTATACCCAGGTGTGAAGAACAGGAGAGGGTGCTGTAAGCATCAGGGGCAGGGGAATAGGGGAGCCGTGGGGTGTGCTGGGAGCGCAGGATGCCGGAGGTGTGTGTGGGGGGGCAGGGAGCCAGGTGGGGGGGTGCAGGGGGTCTGTATCATGGAGGGAGGGGACTGAAAACCACAGAGACCCATCAAAGAGCCTTCATCGGGGGGATGACATGGTCCCACTGCATTTTGGAAAGCTTACCACAACCACGCTGTGGGGAATGCTGGGCAAAGTGGCAGGAGGAGCAAGAGCTTTTGAGGCAGGAGCCAGGTCAGAAGGATAGTCTAATGCCCAGGGGTGTGGGGGCAGCTTGCAAGGTGGTAGAGGTAAGTGAAGGGGTAACCCTGCGGTGAGCTGGAGAGCTGACTGGCTTTCTGGAATGTGGGGAGTGGGTTATTAAATACCACCACTATTAAACATGAAGTTGTAACAATTTATAATTACATAAGTTATAGTAAAAACAAAGATCATAAATACTCAAATTCATCACATCCTAATTATTTTACTATCACCTACTCACTGTTGTCTATTTTTTTGAGGGTATTTACATCCCTCCTATCTGTACGGTGAACACAATGGTGTGCTGTTGTCAGGGGCGTCACACTCGGTAGCTTGAGACTTACTACTATCCGGTGGGAGTATTTACACCAAGGAAATTGGCAAGCATTACAGATGGAGTTTTTTCTTTTCAACACACCGTGGATGAGTGACCATCCTCTAGAGATAAAGAACATGAAAGAAACCTACTCATCCTTCCAGGCTCCATCTGGAAGGCTCTCCAGCCTTCTCCCCTGCAGCCTCCTGATATGCCAAGCACACCTTCCTCATAGCCTTGATCCCTCACAACCTACTTGTGCCTGCCTCCCCTTTCATTCTGCAAGCATCTCGATTCTTCTGTAGGCAGAGCTTAGCACAGAGTAGAGCTCATTCTGCGCTTGTGGAATGAAACAACACGTGAGCAAGTGAGTAAAAATGGCTTCACTTTTCTACATTTGTTTCTCTTGGGCCTTTGGGATGAGCCCTCCCTCGCTAATGGGTAGAACATGAAGGTTATGATAAGCCCCAAAGTACTTTCAGCCTCAGAAGCAGCCCGATGCTCAAATGACATTTCTCATCAACGTGTGTCCCACAAGATGTTGGAACGTCTAGTGAGAAACTATGTGAAAAAGAACACTTTTGGAAGAAAGAACTTCGAAGGCGACATGACAGTCCACTGAGCTGAGGAAAATGTGCCCGGGGAGCAAGGACCCACACATCAAAGGGATTCTGAAGGACGATATGAAAGGAGAGCCACATGTCCAGATCACCTTGGGGAAAGCTGTCTTTGTAACTGATCTGAATCAAGGGCAAGAGGGCACAAGGACGTCAGATTTGTTTGAAGAGAATAGCATCCTGTTAGTCTTGGAAAATAATTACACAAAGCCACCAAAGCACCACTTCCTCCCCTCCCCCATGCACCCTCCTCACCAAGTAAGACTCTACATCAAAGAGTCTCTGAGCCCTATGTCTGCCTTGCAAGTCACCTCAGTTAACCATTTGAGAGCAAATGCTCAGAATGTTGATGTAAGGGGGTAGAAAGAGCTCCCCGCCCCTCCCTCAGGGTTCCACTGTGTCCCCCTCCTCTGGGGCTCACTTCTCCAGGCTTTGGCAATTTTTCTAGATCCCAAGAGTCAGGGGACCCAAACTCATGGGCTAACTCCACCAGCTTCCATGGGAGCCTGGGCAAATAAGTTTTGAGCCTTTGCCCCATCTGTAGAATTAGTCTGTTCCCTTGGCCTGTGTGCCTCGCAGGCTGTAGGGAGGTCCAAGGAAGTGATCCACAAGAGACTCCACAGAGCTGTAAGCTACTGTTCCTGGCTTTATCAGTGCCATTTCTAGTGTCTGGGTCCCCTCTTGTTTGACACGAGAAGCCCAAGGCCCAGAGATGAGAAGCAACTTGATGAAGTCCCACCCAGGGCCTGATAGATGGGTCTGGGAGTGGGTCCCGTGCCCTTTCTGTTAGAAAATGCATTCGACTCTGGGTGGCCTTTCTGGTCAACTCTTACTATCAGCCTCAAGGCGGGTGAAGTCATCTAAATAAGAGAAAGCCACTGCCACATATTTTGCTATGGATTTCCAGCCAGGGAATACAGACATACCACACACACTTTTACACCCCTACCTGCACCTCATGCCACTTGGTTTTAGGATGAGTAGAAGTACACACTCTTTTAACAGAGCCACGTGAACTAGGAGATGCATGCTCTCTCTCTCTCTCTCCTGGTTTAATACATTATAAAATTGGATTTTGCATCTCCTGTTCCTGCTGTACATTGTGCACTCCGTCCACAGCTCTTTGGATAACCTGACCTTACTCAGACTTCAGCCACCCCCAAGACAGCCAGTGTTGGTCAACCTCTAGCCCTTTCCCTGGGGAGGCATGTCATTTCCCCATGCTAAACCTTCCAAAGCATCTCCTTGGGACCACAGGTACCCACATTAACACTTGCTGTGTTCGCTTGCACACTGGGTGGTTGTGCAAGGCGGACAATGAGCTAGACACAGAGCTGATGATTGCAGTACACTCCAGTGAGTGCCTAGAGGGCCATCAAAGCCCTTCAACAGAGGGCAAAGCCTGGGAACTTCCTATCTCCCACCACTATCCCTTTGGCCCAGCAAGACTTGGCCCTCAATAAATGTTTATCGTATGAATGCATTCCTGAGTCATCCCCACCTTGCTAGGTTTGTTCATTCATTCATTCATTCAGCCACTCATTCAATTAGTTTTTCATTCAACTTTCGTTGGGTGCCATTTACATACCAGGCACTATACTAAGTAGTGAGAGAACAGAGACACGTTAGATACACACCCTGCCTCAAGGAACCTCATTCCCACAGGGGAGACAGAAATATGCACAGACCAGCATCTTGTGATGCAGTGAGTGCAACAATGGAGACATGACAAGGCATCCAGGAAAGCGGTCCTGGCGGATGGGAGGGTCCGGGTGTCTGAGGGGTGGAGGAGGGATCAGGAAAGGCCCCCCTGGATGGGGGAGGCCAGGAAGTCCCCCTGAGGCAGGAACACTGGAAAGCCGTGTCTGCAGGAGATTGCCATGGAGGATCCACGGCCAGCGGTCTCTTCAGAAAGATGCTGTCCTCTCGCTCAGCGCGGCTTTCCACCAAAGCTTCCTGCTCTGGCTTATGGGGTGACACCTGGACCAGGGAGAAGAACACTTGGCTCCTGAGTCTGACCATTTTACCCACTGTCCCTTTCTTTCCTTGGCCAGCATCCTCCAAGTGGGCTCAAGAGGCTAAGACTGTGATCTCAACCCTTGC